GCAAAATCTTTTTTTTTTAATTATTTATTTTATTTTATTTGTTATTATTATTATTTTTTTAATTTGACCAGAAAGAGAGAAAGAGAGGGAAAATGAGAAAATAAGCCGCCAGGTCTGGGACTCGAACCATGATCAGCCATATGGGTGTCCAGCACCTTAACCACCATGCCACCTGCTAACCCCCACAAACAAAATCTTATAGTGTAAATATCCTGGCCCATGAATACGTTAAGTCTTTTTTATTTTTAAGAGAGATTTTTGTTGTAGAGTGTATGCGCTCACCAGAGAGACAGAGACAGGAAGGAAGAAATCAACCCCTAGGGGCTTGGCTATACCTAAATCCCTTGTCTTCCATTCTCCTCTTGGGATTTTGAACCATGCACTCACATGCACTCAGCCTGAGATTTTTTTTTTTTTTTTTTTCAGCCTGAGTTTTAATCCACTGGGTCCTGGACTCAAACCACAGTCAACTATGTGGGAGTCCAGCAATGTAACCATTGCACCATCTGGTGGTTCCTGGATTAAGTCTTTATTTAATGCTATGTATCCTTTGCTAAAACTAAACCCAAAAACCAGGATTTTGGTAGTCGTATTTATTTACTTCATGAATAGTTTATTTGAGGGGATTTTAATTAAATGATGAATAAAAAATATCAGTCCAGGAAAACACCGGGCAGTAGTGAGGTTCCTTTAGGGTTGGCATTTTATGGGATCCTGGTTATGCTCACTTGTGTGATTACCCTTAACTTGAATCGGTTAGCACCCACCTGTAAGTACTTCTTGGAGCCTGGCTTTGTGCTATGCTTGCTGTGTCAAACTGATAAGGATGATAAGGGAATAGTAAAATTCTGCTTTGACCTTTGCTCTTTTTCTTTTCTTTTCTTTTTTTTAAGGCTTTTACCATAGGGCACTTGTGGTCACTGGAAAGAGACAGAGATAGAAAAAATGAGAAATCACCCCCCCCAGAGGAGATAGCCCTGCCACAATCTCTTCTATCCATTCTTCTCTTGGGATTTTGGGCATGCAGGCACACACACTTGGTATGATTTTCAAGCCACCAGATCCAGAACTTGAACCATAGTCAGCCATGTGGGAGTCCAGCACCTTTCCCACCACACCACCTACTGTCCACTCTTTTCCATTGTTTTTTTAAATAATTATTTTATTTCGGGACCAGCAGTTGGCATAATGGCTGGACCATTATGTGTTGCTGGACCTCCATGTAGTTGAGTCCTGGACCCAGTGGCTTAAACTCATGCCAGGCGCGTGTACATGCATGCCCAAGATCCTGAGAGGAAAATGGAGGAGAAGGGATTGTGGCATGGCCATCCCCCCTGGGGGGTGATTTCTCGCTTTCTGTCTGTCTTTCGGGCGTGTGCATGTGCCTTATAGCTAAAACCTCTCCAAAAAAAATTATTATTCTTTCCTTCCTTCCTTCCTTCCTTCCTTCTTTCCTTCTTTCCTTCTTTCCGACCAGAGACAGACCACATGAAGAGAGAGAGAGAGAGAAAGTGAGAAAGCAAGCTGCCAGGTCCGGGACTCAAACCATGGTTGGCTTTGTGGGAGTCCAACTCCTTTAACCACCATGCCACCTGCTGGCCCCCCTCTTCTCTATTTTAATTGTGAGAGAGTTGCTGCTCTTGCCAGAGAGAAAGAGAAAAGGCACTACCCAATGGTGCATGGTCACTCCACAATCTCTTTTCCTCCATTTTTCCATCCTGCAGGAACTTTGAGTACATACACACATGTGCCTAGCCTGTTTTTAAAGTTTCTGGGGCCAAGACTTCCAACTGGGCTACAGGGTCAGCCTGTGAAACTTTTGTTATTTATCTGCTGTAATATTCTTCTATATATTTTAAGAAAACCATTCTTAGATCGTATGACCGTGGGTCTCAGAGTACAGCATAGGGACCAGTTATAGTATGTCTGACTCAAGTCTATCCAGGCCTCTTAGCAACAGGTTTCTTTCTTTCTTTTCTTTCTTTCTTTCTTTCTTTCTTTTTTTTTTTGCAGAGATTTTTGCTATAGGACATGTATGCTCACCAGAAAGACAGAGAGAGACATAGAGACAGAAAGTGAGAAATCACCCCCTGGAGGGATGGCCATGCTGCAATCCCTTCTCCTCCATTTTCCTCTCGGGATCTTGGGCGCACATGCACACACACCCAGCATGATTTTAAGCCACCAGGTCTGAGACTTGAACCACGGTCAACTACATGGGAGTCCAGCGACATACCCATTATGCCAACTGCTGGTCTCAGCAACAGGTTTCTTTCAGTCTGATTAGATAGTGCATCATCAAAGGCTCAATAACCCCTTGTCTGTTGACACCCAGCCAGGTGAAATAATATTCCTAGACCAATCAGCAATTGTCATTGAAGCGGAATAATGTGTTTGAGCTGTTCAGGTTTTAATCTCCGAGTGTAGGCAGTGGCAGTGGTGGTGTGACTGGATCCACATGGAAGAGTCCTGAGTCCTGCATTCATATCCTGGGAGTTCCCTGAGCATGGTGTATACACGTCTACAAGCTGGCTGGCTGCAACTGGAGTTAGTTAGATTGTGGAGAAAAGCCCTCCATGAGAGTGTCTGTCTCTCTCTCTCAGATTAAATAGATAAAATGTGAAAACCTTCTTTTTTAAAAAATTTAATTTAGATCAGGTATGTGGCATGATGATTAAGGTGGTTGGATCCCACATGGCAGACATCACAGTCTGAGTCCTGGGCCCAGAGGCTCAGAAAACATGCTTAGCTCATGTGCATTCATGCATGCCCAAAATCCTGAAAGAAAGGAAAACAGAGGAGAACGAATTATAGTGTGACCGTTTTGTTGTTGCTGTTGTTGTTTTTAGGCTTTGTATAGCCAGGCCACAATCTCTTCTCCTGAGATTTTGGCGTGCATTCACATGCGCCTAATGTGAGTTTCAAGCCGCAAGGTCTGGCACTCACACCGCAGTCAGCCATATGGGATTTCAGCACCTTAACCACTACGCCACCTGCTGGCTCCCGGGAGTGCTTTTTTACTTTCCTTCTGTCTTTCTCCAGCCAGCACATGAGCCCTCTAGAAAATTTTTCATTTTTATATTAATTCCTGTTTATTCTTTCTCAGAATTGGAGCATTCATAATGCTCTCATAGAGATGACTGACAATGGAAGATTGGTATAAAGCCAAAACCTTTATATATATTTGATTCATGCTTGGGTCATACCTGGTGCTCCTAAATCAGTTCAAGATTGGAAAGCTAGATGTTGATGTCAGTGTGGTTAAAATTATTTTCCTGTATGAGGACCAGCAGTTGTTGTAATGGGTATGTCGCTGGACTCCCATGTAGTTGACTGTGGTTCGAGTCCCGGACCCGGCAGCTTACACTCACGTTGGGCACGTGTGTGTATATGTGCCCAGGATCCCGAGAGAATGGAGGAGAAGGGATTGCAGCATGGCCATCCTCCCTGGGGGGTGATTTCTCGCTTTCTGTCTCCCTGTCTCTGTCGTTTTGGCGAGTGCACACGCCCTATAGCAAAAAACCTCCCCCAAAAAAGAAAAAAAAATATTTTCCTGTATAAACTGAACATTCCGTAGAGATGTAGGAAATATATATATTTTTTGAGAGGTTTTTGCTATAGGGTGCCTGCGCTTGCCAGACAGACAGAGAGAGACATAGAGACAGAAAGCGAGAAATCACCCCCCCAGGGGGGATGGCCACGCCGCAATCCCTTCTCCTC